ATACGTTTGGAATATACATTTATTATAAAAACAATTATTGCGATTATTTTTCTAGTAACATTCGAAGAAATTCTTACATATTCACAACAGCACAGACTCTGGCTGTTTTATTGTTTTATTGCACAGAAAAAAAATAAGTGTCAAATCAAAACTTATATACTTAAACTAACGTGTTCATTGTTTCGTATACGCAACAATTTATAATCTTCTTAGAAGAATTTAATAATTTTAAATTTCAACAATATTATAGTCTTATTTCAATATTGTAATTGTCATCTCAAGAATATATAATTATTTAATTCTACTTTAAGAAAATTATAATCTTTGATTTAAAAATGTTATTTTTTATCTAACATTATTTCTTTTCCATTCAAGAAAAATTAAATCTTAAATCATAATAAAGAATATATTTTTCTTGATTGAACTATATAAAATGATCTTCATTAGAATAAGCAATTATTCAAGCAATTATACTTTTCTTTAACTAACTTTTCTTTAACTAACAATATAATCTCATGTCAAGATTTCCATGTTAAAATTAAATATATTTTCAAAAGGATCGTTGAAAAAAGGTTTAGTCGATCAAACTAGCCAGAAATTTTGTTTATTAATACGACGTTTCGACCATATGGTTGTGGTCCTTATCAAGTATATACGATGTAATAATAATCAGGAGACAGGCATAGACAATAATCTTGCAAAACTGCACAAATTACATTAACAAAAAACGTTATTTAACTAGATTCGAATTTGAGAGAAACTGATGCGTCCGTGCGAGACTTTGTCAAGAAACTCAAGTCTCGCACGGACGCATCAGTTTCTCTCAAATTCGAATCTAGTTAAATAACATTTTTTGTTAATGTGACTTGTGCAGTTTTGCAAGATTATTGTCTATGCCTGTCTCCTGATTATTATTACATCGTATATACTTGATAAGGACCACAACCATATGGTCGAAACGTCGTATTAATAAACAAAATTTATGGCTAATTTGGTCGACTAAACCTTTTTTCAACGATCCTTGGATTATTGACTAGCGATATTAAATTACTTTTTTAATTTTTATATTTTCAAAACATGTTTTTTTTTCTGTGTGTACACTTTGTTATTTTTTTGTTTTTTTCTTTCTACTATCAAAACGCAGATGAACAGTTATCTCAAATTGAATGCAAAAAGTGTAGGAAAGTGCAGGTAAATATATATGTAATTCCACATATTTAATTCTCGCAGACTCTAAATGAGATATTTATTTAAGATCTTCCGAGACACATGTTGTATGCATAATATCTCATGAATTTGTGCAAATAAAAAATCTCGTAATAAAAAAAATTTATTTTTACTATAAAAAAATGTGTAAAATTTACTTTTTTTCTTGAGTATTAAGTATTTTTATTTATATAAAGTAAAATAAAATGTAATAATATATGTCAAAGTTTTCTTTTATATATACGTTAATGTCAAATGTGATAAACTTAATCAATCTTCATTCTTTAATTATGTCTTAAAATATCAATTTTTTATTTGTATGTGTAAGTTGAAGTTAAATGTATTTATATAAAATGTTTAATAAAACAATAAAATCTTTAATAAAAAAATAAAAAGACTTATCATTGATCAAGACCAGCATTTCTTATGTGAAAAAATTGCTTAATATATATCATTAAATAAAAATCTGTATTGGATCGATTGTATGCTATTAACGATATTATTTTGAACAATGCGAGAAGTGGAAAGGTTAATCCCGGAGAGACAATTGTAGGTTGTTATCAGCGCCTGGTTAACCCGAAGTAAATAGGCAGCTGAGAATGTTCCTACTTGTTGCTTAATATGCAGCGCATATGTAGAAACAGTGCCTCTCTGCATTAAATTCGCTTCATCTTTATTCAAATTATTGAGTTGAACTGTGTTTTGTTTTGTATATATTATTTGAATCACGAATATGTGCAATTTTATGCTATTGTTGTTTAAACTTGTACTGCAATTTTTCGCTTAAATGTTTTTAATAAATTTGCAAGAGTAAACATTTTTGAAAATTTTTTTTCTAGAAAGAAAGAAATTCTTTTAGTTTGAACTGAAAAAAATATAAGCTCTTACAAATTATTAATTTGTTCTATGATATAATTAACTAAATTAATTATTTATATATTAAGTTCTTTCTTACATAAAATAAAATCAATTCTAAATCATTTTACTAATTAATTAAGATATTTTAATTTATCTTTATATTTTTTGATATAGAGAATGCAAACGGAATTAAAATGGAAAGAAAATCATAAAACGAATCTTTTTGGATAAATGATACATTGTTAGAATATTTCAATCTGGAACATTCAACACAATTTTCTTCTCCGATAAAGTTACAATTTTGCAGTTTTGTCGTTCAATAATTAGGCTATTTTATACGCATTATTCAATATTGCTGATAGCGCGTTATCTAAAATTCAATTTTTTAAAATTATATTGGTTTTAACGCGTTACGTAAATCATGTACATCTTGTTTATGATACAATATTATATTATTTAGGAATTACGTCTTTCTAGAATCTTCTGGAATTAAAAAATGAAAGTTGACTCTTAGAAGAAGAAACTCGTTTACTAAAATAAACAGAGATAAATCATTACGAAATATTGTAAAGGAAAGGAAAAAAACGTCAATCATGACCCGAGTGTGATCCATATAGATCCGCTGGGGTTCCATGTTATCTTCTATTGAAGCCGTGTTATCTTTTATTGACTTCCAACAACTTATAATTTATTGTTAGAAATTTACGCGCAATATACTGTGTGTAAATATTACGATACGTTGAATCCAATCAGTTTTGTAATCACAAAATGTAACAGCCGATCTGACTCGTTATATATTTTTTATTTTATGATACAATATCATTGATTATTTAGGAATTACGCATAAATATAACTTTATATAAATATATAAAATTATTAAATATGTAACATTATAAATATTATTAAATATATATATATATATATATATATATATATATATAAATATAGCATATAATAATAATAAAAGTATCTTGTATATTGTATGTGAATAGTCTTTAGAATATTTTTTGGGGAATTTTATAAAAATCAACGTTTTCTTAACATGAATTATTTAAAATACTTAAATACTATTTACATATTAGTGTATATAATATAAATGAAATATGTTTATTAAATAGAACTCGGAATGAAACTTCTTAAAATAATGATTACGCATAAGAAATACAATTTTTTTCTCTATTCTTTATAATACTATTTTTTATAATATAATTTCCTTGAAAAATTTTTAAAGTTTTGTGGAGTCAGTAATACTATAAAATTCTAAAATTATTAATATTTCAAATGTAAGAAATAATATGATCGTCGAATATAATTTTTCTATTTAATTAATACTTTTGAATACGACAGAAAATGGGACAATGCTTTCATACAGAATTTGAAAAAAGAAGAAAATGAGAGATAAGAGAGAAGTATTATATTCTATTAAAAGTATTATATTCTATTATTCTAGATTTTTAATTTTACATTTATTTCATCATAATATTTTATCCTTATCTTATCTAAATAATACACAGCTGTGTTTAATATTTTATTCTATATTTTGTTTGTCAAATATTTATTTTTATGCGTAATACTTGCCAATAAATCGGTATTTGATACAATCTTTTACAAGAATTAGATAATAATAATTTTGTAAAGGATATAATTAATATTTATTTTGATCGTTTCTGTCGAATGAAATTTTATTTTTATTATAATATTGCAAAAAGTAATGACAATCTATTTGGAAAGTAATATACATATATATATTTAAAAGAAAAATTCAAAAATATTTTAAATTTGATAAAAATATGTCGATTACATGCAATGATTCCAAATGCCTTTTTGAATGTAATAAAAATTAATATTTCGCAGAAACCTTCAAAACTTTTTCATTTAAAAAGTTTCTGAAAAATTTAAAATTATATAAAGAAAACTAAAAAAAATATAGATCTTTTTTTAATAATATTGAGACAACGTGAAAAACTTAATTTAATCTGAATTCAGAAAATACGAAGGGGGCGAGTCTTCCATATATTTAAGGGCATTGTATCGTTTTATATATGTACATGTAAGTTTTGAGACATATACTAACTATGTAACAAAATCTCATGAAAATGCTTCTGTGCATTTCACTTGTGCTATAGATGCTGCGGAAAGAAATAATGAAGTCAAATACTTCAATTGAGTCAGAGAAAATCGAATTCATTCGAGAGCTTTATCTTTCTTTTGTTTATTTTAAATTATTTTAATAAAAAAAGATTTCTTATACATATATATCATTTATGATGAAAAGAAAAAATAAATAAAAATACTTTTGAATAAATAAAAAAATTAAGTATATTGGAGACTTTAAAAATTAAATTATATAAAATTAAATACAACTAAATATGTTCAATAACAAATAATAGAATTTGTTCAGTTTATGTAATTAGCTTCTTTTAATTAAATACAATTACTTAGATAATTGAAAATGATTTTTTTTATTTATCTAGTAATTTTCCATTCAATTTTAAAAGAATCAATTATATGAGATATAAATATATAAAAGATAACAAATAAATATTTAAATTCACAATAATTAATACTAACGTATTTGAACTATAAAATTGCTGTTTCATAGATTTTTGCGGATAAGTTAGTTAATTATTTGATGTCGATTAAAGTGTTATTCTGGTGTTGCATGGCGTTAGATTTCACACTTGATCGACGTCAAAATGTCATTGTCGGAACAAATAACAATAATTGGACCACTTGCTCTGTAAGCGGGTTATCATCTTATGCGTCTTCTCCCCTCTTCATCTTATAACTGATTGTCTTATGCGTCACTACTATGCAATCGACGATTGGTCGATGTGCTTATGTGTATTCTCCATCATTGGTCGGCTCATTTGTGCGCTCATTTTTCCGGCTCGTGCTTGAATTTCTCTATAAAACGGGCGTAAGAAAGTCACGTCAGTCATTAATCCTAAGCGTGCGATACATGCTCCAGCTGATCGGTCACAGTTGCTTGCATCACTCTTTGCTTATTTTTTAAATCACTATACTTATTGACGAGTGATACATTATCTAAGGTGAAAATGCCATTTCCGGATACCAACGGTTACGATAATCTTCCGATCATCAAACGATTGACCAATAACGACGTGCAGCAAACGAACGTGAAGCATGCGCGACACACGTAAGTCCGATTGAAATTGTTTCTCTGAACATCAAAATTAACAAAATGTACACTAAAAAGATATTTGAAAGGCAAGAGAAATGAAAAATTAACAGACCTGATTAACAGATCTGATATTTTTTTTACGTAAAATCTTTGCTAAAAGTCACATAACTTTATGATATTTTTATATACTGAGGGAAAAATTTTTTAAAATCAAATAAATTTGTTTTGTTGAAACTTTTTCTTTAAATGCAAGGAATTGTTTATTTCATTTAAGCAAAAGTATTTAATTTTAATTAAATATGCATGTTATATTAAGTACATTATTTTCATTTATATATTTTTTATATTTAAATACTATTATCATAAAATATATACTATAATTTATTAAATTAAGTATATTATTTTTTAAAATTAAAAAATTTAAAATTTTTAGGAATAAAAAGTGCATTTTAATAAATATTTTGTAAAATTAAAATAAAAATATTTAATTAAAAATTATATTTTTTTAAGCATATCTATTTTTTTAAACATATGTATATAAATACTTAACTTAAACAAGCAGACAAATACAAGTAAATACGTGATTAGTACCCACCGAATAAATAGCTTCCTTGAGTTAACTAAAATTTTTTTATTTTAAGATAATTTTTTCCTCAGTGTATAATGTTTAATATTTAGTGTCTCTGTAATTGACATTCGAACTGAAATTCTCTAGAGTTTATATATAGAGTCGAAAATAAATTGTTGAAATTATCTTTCCAAAATTTTATCTCAAATTTAATAATCAATTTCGACATTCAATTGGTTCCCGAAATTATGAACGTGTATGTGTGCGACGTAATAGAATTTTGATACGCTAAAATACGCATGCAAACAATATTTGCTGGATGTTAATGATTACCGATATTGCGAAATTAGTTGGGTTAATTGTACTTCTCACAAATATCTGACGCAAATCGAATGAATGAAGTATTCCGAGCGCGCCCACGCGCGCACACTGTAATTCGATGTAATTTCGCTCTGAAACTGGTACAAAACGGTGCGGTTACCTGCTAAACTACCAGCACGCTCAAATAGTAGCGGATTTAAGCTAAATGCATAACATAGGCTTCGGGGATATTACAAGTCATGCATCGGAATACGTACGCAAAATGCGCGCTTGCGAAGATATACGTGGTGTTTGAGAAAAGATCTTAATCACTTTTGAGGCCTTGTAATTGTGGATTGAGTAAAAATTACAGACAGCTTTCAATGACTAAGATGTGTCTCAATCATTACAAAAGAAAAAGAGAAATTGTCAAAAATTATACAAATTGTAAAAGCTATATAAGGACTGCAATTTTAAACCTTTCATGTATAATTTTATTTATTATAAGTCTTATTTATCTCATTTTATATTTCTAAATATGTTTAACTTTACAAAATTTCTTTAAACTTGCAATTTAATAGTTTCAATTTTAAACTATAAAATCTTAAACGTATAAAACATTTCATTTATTAGAGAAAATTATTTTCATTTATAAATTTACAATTTATTACCTTTTCTCAGACATGATACTTTTTTAAAAAAATATTTATGATTATACTCAACTAACCATAAAGATATTGGAACATTATATTTTATTTTTGCTATTTGATCTAGAATAATTAGTTCTTCTGTAAGGATAATTAATTCATTTAGAATTAGGCTTACCTAACCCTTTAATTTATAATGATCAAACCTTTAATATTTTAGTGACTAGACATGCTTTCATTATAATTTTTTTCAATGTTTTTTATAGTTATTTTTTTCATAGTTTTAATAATTCTTTTCATAGGTTTTTTTCATATTCTTTATAATTGGAGGATTTGAAAGTTTTCTTATCCCTTTAATAGGACCTGCTGATATAGCCTATCCTTTAAATAATATAAGATTCTGATTATATTATCTCCTTCAATTTCTATTCTAATTTAAAAAAATTTGATTAATGAAGAAACGGGCTGAACTGTCTACCTCTCTTAGCATTTAATATTTTTCATAGAGGTCCTTCAGTTTCAAAATAATATATGCGCGTATGTGAACATTACGAAAATTATTGAAAAGTGAGTAATTATATTTATATCTAATCTCTAATAAGTGTTTCAAACATCAATCAACAAGGTCAATCGCAAAATTACATTGTACAGTTGAAAAAGCGACTTTCAATTCGTCATAGCATTTTTCCTTGACTTTTTCCGTACACTTATTCAAGGGGAAAATTTCATCAGTTACGGATAGATCGATTGTCCCGTTCGTTTTGAGCGACTGAATCAATTACAAATGACACATCGATACAATTTTTTGTATCTACTGACGGTGATACATCAATAATGTCGTGAGTGAAGGATAAGAAGTAAAGCAAAATTAAATATAACGTTTTGTTGTTTTATAATATTCGCACGAAGGCAACTTTTCCATCTCCAATTTTATTTTTTCAATGGTATTCACGGTGTGGGCGAAAATTGATAAGTGCACTCGTGGATGTATCCCGGACGACGCGCGCTTTTTTATCCATATTTTTTTCCTTTTAGATATTTCGATTTACACTCTATACGCCTCTATTCACGCATAGTTCTTCTATTGTATATGCGTCGCGCGCGTACACGTGCGTAAATGCAAAATTTCCGCGCATTGAGGTGAACAAGAGCGCACATCACACGCAAACGTAGTTATCGAATTTAGTATTGGAATTTACTCGCGGCCACTTGGCAAATTGATTTAATAGTTTTGCAGAGTGCGGAGTGTTAAAAAAAATGTTTCAAAATGTATTATCTCGAGTGTTGTACTCGAGAACCAAATGTTCAAAGATCCAAGAATTTAAGAGGTCTGCAAATTTCGAAAAATTCCAACAATTTTAAGATCTAACGATTTAACAATTCGTAGGTCGAAATGATCTACGAATACAAACACTTTACGCTTGCGAGACAATTGCCTGATACAGAAAAGATAGATGTTTTAAAATAAAGAGAGACTATCGAGATGTACGCGTGACACAAATCAACGTGCAAGAGACGTGAGAAACTCGGGAAACCGAGGAATCAAGGCTTTAAACATTCAAGACTTTACGAAATTATAGCATCAAAAATAACTTAGAAATATACATGTTAGAGTTATTATAAAAAACAATTTTATACTCTTTCTTAAAAAAAAAACAATATATAATAAAAAAGACAATAATTGAAGATTTTATCGTTGCTTCTTTTTTCCATGATACTTTTCTTCATATTATGAGCAGCTATTATCATGTAGGTCGTATATTTCTAATATTTCGACAATGTTAAGGGTTAATAAATAATAATATATCGCTAATTTGTTCGTTAAAAACAAATTTAACATCGATTGATTTGATGTCACAAAAACATTATTTATTTTCTTCTCGCACAAATATTCTATCGTGCATTCTATATCTAGAATGTGGCATCCGCAATAGTATATAATTTTATTTAAGAGTTTTTTAAACTTTTGACGAGTAATAATTAAAATGTATAAATGAGCACAAATTACAAATTCAAATTTTATTTTATTTTATAAATTAATTTTATTTTAATTTATGGTAAATGTGATTATGTAGTATTCATACGAGATAGCGAGAAAAAAACGGGATTAATTGGCGATGAAAGTAAATATTAGTTTTATGAAAATTAATAGAGTGAACGATACACATAATTGCATACGATTCCGAGCATACGAACTCTCAATACTAATTATGGTTGTTAATAACTTATAACGCTGAAAGCTTGTTTATAAATCTTGATGTTTCCATTCACAGGGTTGTTTTGCCTTTAATTAACTTCCAGAATAGGAAATTAAAATAATTGAATTTAACGTAGCAATTTGATTTATGAGTACTGGCTACGCAAAATGTTAAATTAACTAGTTCAATGACGTGTTCTGAAAATTAATTAAGATCGAAATTCCTAATACATAGAGATATCAAGGTTTATAATAGTTGCAGAGTTATAAGCGATTATAGTTCCATATTAGTAGGGGGAGTTTGCACGTTCAAAACTGTAATTATGCGCACCGCTTAGTCTATCAATTCCCTTAGCTCAACTGATATCGATTCTTGTTCCATAATTGATCTTGTTTTTAGCTCGTTATAAACTCGATACATCGTACATGTACGCAATTTCACATAAATCAAAATAAGAATTTTATTTTTTTTAATTTATTTGTACATTTTGATTACACAGGCTGACAAAATTTGGCTAAATCTCAGACCCAGAAACCAGAATATATTTTTCCGAAGGTTTTCGATGCGCTGAGTTCGAATCCGAGGTCAGAATTTCTTTGGTGACTCCGATTTTCGAGATATTTGAGGTTATGTTACATCGCAAGGTAATTTTTTTCATAAAACCATTTATGGGATCCGAAAAAACTACTCTTCCTCTTTAAAAAACATTTTAATTTGTCCGGATATCTTTTTTTATCTTTGAGAAATTGAATGTTCAAATTAAGTAGTTTGACATTTTTGATATTCGGAAATTAAATAGCATCAGGTAAGTACAATATAATGTATGTACACGAAATATACATTTTTAAAGGGTTTTGATGCACGTTGATTCGAAATTTGACATTAGTTTTGCAAATTTAATTTGTCTAAACAATTTGTTTAAACAATTTGTTTAAACAAACTATTGCAAAAATAATGTTTTTTTGAGAAGTAAATGATTCAATCGGATTCTACGGGAACAAGCTCATTCGGAATAGTAATTCGGTATATTAAAATGAGTTTTGTTACAAACTAATTGATAAACAATCAATCATTTTCCAAATATCGAGAAATAAGTCGAACTATTTAATTTGAACATACGATTTCTCAAAGATAAAAAAAGATATCCGGAAATCAAAATGTTTTTTAAAGAGGAAGAGTAGTACTTTCGGACCCCATTAATGGTTTTATGAAAAAAAATTACCTTGCGATGTAACATAACCTCTAATATCTCGAAAAACCGTGATTTGGGCACTTTTAGGTTAGAATATCTCGTAAACCGGAGCCACCAGAGAAATTCTGATCTCGGATTCGAATTCAGCGCGTCAAAAACCTTAGGAAAGTATATTCTGGTTTCTGAGTCTAAATTTTGTCGGCCTGTGTTATTATCCGTAAAGTTCCAGAGATTTCATAGTCTGATTTTACTTGTGTCGATTCAGAAGATATGGAATATTGACGCAAGAGATGAATAAACAGATTGATGCACATTATTTATGATATCGTACTAATCAATATCAAAATTATTACTTAATCGGCAAATCTAGTTATACTTTGAAATTTTATTAAACTCATGATCTTTAACAGCTGCTCACGAAATAGATGTGTAAATCAATTAGAAAGCTGGCGATAATGAAATTCGATTTAATTTTGCACGTCTTTTTTTAAGAATGAAAATATTGAAAAAATTTACTTACAAAAACAAGCAATCATTATTAAATTATTAAATGTCAAAATTCAAGTTTTGAAGCTACCTATATCGGAATAACAGTACAATCTCCATAATCATTACCGCAAAGCTCAGGTATGCAATTATATGTAATTATGACAGGACGTTTCATATAGCCGCGTAATAGTTGCAAGCTAAGGCGGCGCACAACGTCCGTTTAATCAGTAATAATCCGTTGAATATGCTTTAATATGTCTCTGCGTCGAGAGAAGGAAAGCTGCGTCGTGTTCGATCGCGCGTCTGAAAATTACTTCGCGACCTTCTTACATTATTAATAGCTTCTCGATACATAATATCGCGCAGGGTAAATTGTACCAAATTACACACGAGACCACAGAATTAAATTATTATCCCACAGGTCTTTGATTTTAAACAATTCTATCCGTCGATTTATTATAGCGAGTAAAAAGGAATTTATATTATGTTTTTTAGGTATACCTTTGAAATATTGCAAGAATCAGCGCAATATTTATTGGATCGCATCAAGATCAGACCAAAAATAGGAATTATCTGCGGGTCAGGAATGGGTTAGTAGTTGCATATCTGCTTATTTTTAAGTGTAAACAATTCATTCGGTGATTAATACGATATGATTTATTCGATATAAGTTGGTTAAAATATAATCCATTGGTTAAAATAAAATCCATTACTAATTATTAATCCAATCATGAATAATTGTATAATAAATAAAAAATAATTCTATTAATAATAACACTTAAATTTAAGGATTTAATAATGAATATGTGTATTATATGTATTCTAAAATTATGTATATATATATATATATATATATATATATATATATTTTTTTTTTTTTTTTTTTTTTATGCACATCGTGATTATAATGTTGATTTATCAAATGCATTTTTTCAAGTTAAAAGTAAAAAATAATTTTCCATTACGATTAACAGTTTCGAAATACATGATTAGATTATGAAAGGATTACACAATGTTGTTTGTGATATTTTTGAGCATCATTCTATTGCATTCTGTCTGATTATGATTTCACTTTCATGTTGTTTTTGATTCACACATTCACGCTTATACGGGGTGTTTCTTAATAAATGCGAAAAATTTTAGGAAATTCTTTGTCGAAAATTAAGGGCGGTTTTTCATACAAACATATACTCCTACATCCTTTCTTGTGGAATTACACTCTTCCAAAAATGGGAATAAAAATTAAGTTTTTATTTTTTAGGTTTTTAGCTTCTTATTACAATTTTATTTTTGTTCCAATTTTCCCAACATTTACTCTAATTTTAATTTTATTTTAAAATTTAATTTCTCGTAATTCCAAACCTATGCATCGTGCTGTGCACGATATTTTAATTTTCTTTTGAAAACTACTGATTTTATACTACTGAAAAAAATAAAAGAAATAAAAGTGTCTAAATGAATCAAAATTTTTAATGCATATTTTTAGGTGATATTGTGGCCCATTAAAAAGTTTTAATAAAAAATTGAATAACGGCTAATTTAAATTGCTAATTTCATCTTCTTATAACAATACGGAAGGCTGAAAAAAATATTATAATAACCTTTAAAAAAATAAAATAATAAATAACCTAAATAATAAAAAATAAAATAATAAATAACCTAAATAATAAAAAATAAAATAATAAATAACCTAAATAATAAATAATCTTTTCACTAGTAGAAAATATCCTAATTTCATTTTTTTAACTTGTTCCAAATTTGAGAAAAAAATAAAATCCCTAATTTTTACTCCCATTTTTGGAGAAGTGTAACTCCACAGGAAGTAATGTAGGAATATATATTTATATGAAAAACCCCCCTTAATTTTCGACAAAGAATCATTTCCTAAAATTTTTCGAAATTATTAAGAAACACTCTATATATTAATTGAATATCAAAAACTTTAAGACTGCTTCTGTTCCTCTTTGTATTGTTACGTATTCTTTACGCTGGAAAATTCATACTTACTTTGAATATCCATGAACGGTTGCGAAACATTGCGGTGTGCTTCCTATCAGTGTTGTTTATTCTTAAACAGGATCATATGTGCAAAACGAGTTGTGTCCAGGTTTGATAGCGGAATCACTCGTGGACAAGCAATGCTTTCCCTATGAAGAAATTCCACACTTCCCGGTATCTACGGTCAAGGGACACACCGGCCAGATGGTCTTTGGGTATCTTCGGGGTGTACCGGTCATGTGTATGCAGGGCAGGTTTCATTATTACGAAGGCTATCCACTCTGGAAGGTATAGCTAATCTTACTGACTATAATAAAGTTATAATTTTATTATACATCTAATGCGGATAAAATGCATATGAAATGATATGTTAATTGAAATGTAACAATGGTTATCCGCAGTGCGCCATGCCAGTGAGGGTAATGAAGCTGGTAGGTGTGACACATTTAATCGCCACTAACGCAGCCGGTGGTTTAAATCCCACTTACAATGTTGGTGATATCATGATAGTGAAGGATCATGTGAATATGATGGGTTTTGCTGGAAACAACCCTCTTCAAGGACCGAATGACGACAGGTGGGACACACAAGATTAAACTTTTCTCTCTCTCTCTCTCTCTCTCTCTCTCTCTCTCTCTCTTCCTCTCTTAGTGTATATTAAAGAAGATTAAGTTAGGAAGAATTGTCTGTGTGTACAAGAAAATTTTGAAAAGATTAATCTTCGTAGTCGCGATTCTGATACAAAAATTTAAATTTACTCTGGGAAAAGCGAGAACAAATACAACTATCGGCGGAACGAGCTGGTTAAGAAGTTTCGGAGAAAGTAAGAGGATTCGGAGAAAAAGATGTCGCGTAATGAAAAGAGATGGTAAGAAGGATCGGGTTAAGAGAGCGGGAAAGGGGAGGGTTTGAGAAAAAAAAGAGAAAGAAAGTAAGATAGAGCGCGAAAAGACTTTGCTGAGCAAATACGTCAATCAGCTTCTTTATGTCGCCGTGTAAATAGTTCATCAATCCGATTTTCGAGAGGTTATTCCAATGAAATAAATTAATGCCATTCTTTCTGTCAGTCTTCGTATTTCCTCTCTCTTTCTTGTTCCCGATTTCTTCATAGATTCGACAAGTTTCAATGATATTTTGAGGAATCTAACGGATTCGAATTCGTTAATAATGTAAATTTTTCTTCTTCTTTTTTTTATCGAATTTCTCGATCGTTTTTATTGACAGCTTTTATTGAAAGCTAAATAAAGCAAAATATACGCTCAAAGTATGAAAACCGCAACGTATCGTTCTTAATAATTTTTATTATTTATTTATTATTAATTATTAATTATACAGGCCTGCGAGGTTTTTCTTTTTAAGATGCAATAGTGATTTCCGACGTAATTTTGTGAGCTGAATTCGAATCTGGCCGCCGAATTTGCGTAGCACGTCACGTTTTTGAGTAATTTGTAATTGAGTGGCTCAAAAATCGCTATTTTGGCCAATTTCATGAATTTATTGCTAGGAAACCAAATTTTTTGAAATATTTCTGCCAATGGCATCGTATAATACTCACTTTCGCCTTTCAAATCCACTTTCGATTACCGCCGCACGATTTTTCTTCGCTGAGATATATAAGTATGACGTTGTAAAAAAATTTACGTTAAAGAAAATTTATATAGATATCTCAATATGGTAGATCCATGATGTTGAAAGTTGAAAAGACTGACATATGTCAGGTTCTTTACAATATTTGTCCAAAAAAATATTGTAAAGAAATATCTAATACAGTTGTTACACATTTTGATAAATTTTTCTAAATTTTATGCCTTTTTATTGTGATTCTATTCGCCATATTGGATGCGCCATTTTTAATTTCAGAAGGTGACAGAAGGTTTAAAAATGTATATTTTTATCCTAATTTTGATTCGTAGTGAAATAAAGAGGTGGCACGGTTGATTTAGAACGGCTTATTGGATCCCTATGCTTGACCTGTCTTATAACTTGTATATCTGAGCGAAAAAAAATCGTGCGGCGGGGGGGGGGGGTAATCGAAAGTGGATTCGAAAGATGAAAATGAGTACTATACGATGCCATTGACAGAAATATTTCAAAAAATTTGGTTTACTCACAATAAATTCATGAAATTGGCCAAAATAGCGATTTTTGGGCTATTCAACTACAAATAACTCAAAAACCTGACGTGCTACGCAAATTCGGCGGCCAGATTCGGATTCAGCGCACAAAATTACGTCAAAAATCACTATTGCATCTTAAAAAAAAATTTTAACCCCCTTTTTTGTAGGCCTGTGTTATCGGCATTTTTTCTTTTTCTCAGATTTGGCCCCCGATTTCCGCCGATGAATAAAGCCTACAATGACACGCTGATAGAGATCGGTAGCCAAGTAGCCGAAGAGATGGGTATCAGCAATACTGTGCACAAGGGGGTTTACACGTGTTTAGGTGGTCCTAATTTCGAGACGGTGGCGGAATTAAAGATGCTGAGGATGATCGGTGTTGATGCAGTTGGTATGTCGTTTATTGTTTAATTAATTGTTCTACAAACATGTTAACACACATTTTTTTTGCAAATATATAATGTATTTATTCGAACTAAAAAGAGCAGAATCGCGTCAACTTTTTCTTTCCGAATGACACATCTTAATCATCAAACCGACGAATATTAACAATATAAAATATTGTGCTAAAATCGTTTAATGCTGATAATCACAAAGATATCAATGTCTGCTTTTAATGCCGTGTATGTATTAATTATAATTAAGCAATTAATTTTGCTTGCAAAGCAATTAATGATAAATTTAACATATGTTTTGCAATTTTATCTCGTTTATCTACATAATGTAGCAGAGGATAATTTGTAGTGCAAACGGCACAAAACAGAATGATGAAATTAGTACTTCTTATCGAATCATTTTGAAAATTGATTCTTCTAATATTATTGTAATTATACAACACAATAAATTTTCAAAATTATTTTATAAGAAGTACTTATTACACACACACACACATCTATATATATTTAATTATATGTATACAATTAAAAAATTATTTATATAATTTCATTATCAGATATAAAATATATAATAATTATTATTATTAATTTTGTCGTAAAAAATTATTTTCATTTGAAAACATTAAGAAATTGTTTATTTTGTATATATATATTGTATTAATTTATTTTCATATATATGTGTTTATATTTAATTATTTATTAACTTGTTTTTTTATTGCTGAGTTGTGTTTAATAACATTTAATCATTTCTTCATTTCCTTGCACGTAAATATTTTTTACGTATGTACATAATATTATGTATGATGTAATTATGTATGATGTTTAGGAATGTCCACGGTTCATGAGGTTATCACTGCACGGCATTGCGATCTGACTGTATTTGCGTTCAGTTTAATTACTAATCAGTGTGTTACCGATTACGAAAATCACGGCGAGGCGAATCATGAGGAAGTAATGGACGTCGGCAAGTCGCGACAGCCAATTCTTCAAGAATTCGTATCCAGGATCGTGATACGTCTTAGAAATATCTTAGAACCGATACCAAAATGATTCGATTGAGAATCATTCCTAAGAGTTAATTAGAACACATAATTGACTTATTCTATAAGGAATTCTTTTAAATTATTGATTCATTCGTTTTTGTATTTCGACGAAAAGTTTCATTTATTAGGGATTAAAAAATATTGATAACGTAAAAAAGTAATATTACATTATTGCATTATTATTAAATGTAAGATTTGACTTTTCAATATTTTTGAGAATTGATTTTATCTTAATCAAAAATGTCCAAAGATTCTCTATAAATCTGATATAGAATAAGTCAATTCAGAGAGACAAATCGGTCCTCGAATCTTCATTATCTTATCTTCATTATCTTCGTCGTGTTTTACCTATTTAGTTGCCGCTTGACTTCTACTTATCTGAATTCAAGCTCGATTCAGATCTCAATTGATTCATTACACGTCTTGAGGGGCCTTGGATTAGAGAAGGAGAGATGAGAAAGGGAGAAATAGGGAAAGCCTTGGTTGAAGCAGATGGTTAATCGGCGCTTTCCCTCCATTTTCCTTCCTCCTTTTCTCATCTCCTTTTCGCCTTCTTCTATCGCTAAGTCGTTTAGTTCCAATAAATCTTAAGGCCTTAAATAAGAATCACGTGGTGTAGGAATAGCGAATTATGGATTTGACTGAAATATGACAATTGGAAAAATATTGTGCGATATTAAAGCCACAATCATCTTCTTAATAAACTTACGATGTTTTGTGGATCATGAAATTCTTTTTTTTGAAATAATCATTCGGGAAGGATATCATGTTCGAAAATATTTTTTTAAAATTATGTAGATTTGAAAATCTGTGCATTATAAATTTATATGAGATATGTAAAATATGAGGAAAAGTCAATGAAAAAAAAAGTAAAACAAAAACAATTGGAGACATAGAACATAAAATAGGAGATTTAAATACCATTATATATAACACTATAAATTACATTATATATATTACTATAAATAACATTTATAAGTAATTAATGCAATGCACATCCCTATTATCATATTATGTATTTAATTTTGGAAATTGTGATTATATATACTGTATACAACGTAAATAGAAAATATATAAAAATAATTCTTATATAGGTAACTTTTATCAAAATATGATAGTTTTTACATGAAATTGCTCGATAAGAAATTCGATATCGAAATTCCTATTTATTTCTTGTTAAATATCGTGTGTTCTTTAGCACGAAATAAAAAATGCAATAGAATATCGATACATCTATTGACATTGTTTATTATTATTGTTATTATTATGGTTTATTACGAGCAATAAACTACATGTTTATTATATTATTTCAAGAGAACGAAGACAACATGATAGACAAATAATAGAAATTAAAAAAAAAATTAAATATAATAGAAGGAGATTAGTTAAAATAATTACACAAAATTATAATAATATAAAAAAATTATTATATTGAAAAGTAATATAAGAAAATTAAATTAAAGGAATGATTTCGTTTTATACATTTATTGTATTTAATCGAATCATATTCTTTACTGTTACTATTACTATTATTAATACAAGTTATTTCTAGTTTAATAATTACTTGATTAAATTATAATTTATTTGTCATTTCAATCGATTATTATTATTATATATACATCGATATATTTACTATTATGTATACTTATTTTTATTTTATAATTTTATAAAAAGTTATTGTTTTACGATAAATTTTTTCGTCCTTTATAGATATTGTAAACAAGTAAAATTTTTCATTCTTGTTAATCGAGTAACATATAATCAATAAGAGAGAGAATATATATTACGGTTTAAAATATAGATATAACGTAGGAAATAACGTTATATTTTAAGTACATCAACTTAAAAATATTGTATCGATAACGATATATATATATATATGTGTGTGTGTGTGTGTGTGTGTGTGTGTGTGTGTGTGTGTGTGTGTGTGTGTGTGTGTGTGTAACTAATTGTTGTATACCGAAAAATTCATGTGTCTGCAGTAAATGCAAAAAAAAAACGAAAAAAATTCATGTGTCTATATAGTAAATGCAAAAAAAACGAAAATGGAAAAAGTGTGCATTTCGCATAGTTATATACGTTTTGTAGAATAGCATGTGTATATATAATTTAATCATCATATATATATATATATATATATATATATATATATATATATATACGAATTGGGAAGTAAATGATATTACAATATTATTTATTTCTCCTAATTCGTATCAATAAAATACTTTTATTGTCTAAATAATTTTATTATGCCTTCTTATAAGAATTCAATATAATAAAAATGTATAAAGGAAGTTATGTATGTATTTAGATATTCAATAAATGTTTGAATATAAAAAATGATAAAAGCGATAATGCTCTAGATATAATATATTATCATCTATAGATAGGTGGTTTATTGGATTAAATATTCCATCTTTGTAAATTTTTAACGAGCCGATTTTAGGACAAACGTTAAAGTACAGATTATCAATATTTCTCTCCGCAACATTTCAATCTTCGATATTAGACATATTTAAATGACGAATTATTTAACAGAGAATCTCTTAAATTTTCCGTAAAAAACACAGTAAAAAAATTTACTGCGAGGGTAAAAATGAATTCGATAGTGAGCGACAGTTGCGGTTAGATGCGTAAAATGAAAAATATAAAAATGTATTAAAGAAACTGACGTCACCCGCGTCCGGCTGAAGCGGGCCCTATCTGACAGCTCGTGCGTCGGTAAAGCAGAGACCGTCCTTTCGCGGGCGACATCGAGCCGCAACCGCTTCTGTCGCTTCTGTCTCCGTCTCTGTCTCTCTGTCTTTCGATCATATGACGTCATCGTGCGGCGCGCTCTCCTGTCGCTCGCCATCGCCACCTACGGCAGAACCGACTGCGGCGAACGGAGCTCCGTTGAATTTCAGTACGTTTGGTGCTGTCGCGGAGTGAGGTTAGGCGATATATCGTTATATATTGTTCTACGCGCTAGCGATATGGTCGCACCTCGCGGAAGGTCGTGCGTCTCATTTTGCGTCAATCGCTCGAATCTCGACGGCATTCGAATTTCGAACGCGCGTCCCCGCGAGTTCGCGGCGTGAAGTTTTTGCGTTCGTGCGTCGTGGTGCGTGTCTGAAATTCGATTCATCCAAGCAAGACGTTCGAGCACGACGAGCGTGTATCCGTGTAAATCGTTGTTTACAAAAAAAAAAATCATTCCCTTGGAAAAGCTTGTGCCTCCCAAAGATTGGTGATATCATTTTGGAATAATTTGAATGCCATTTCTTGTTCGAAAAGTTCATTTTGACTGTGTGTCTGAGATTGACACATATATTGTTGTGGGGAGTAGATAGAATTGATTAAACTCGGAGTTGAGAATTTAAACATTTCGATTCAAGCAAAATTGATATATGCCAACGTGAAGATTTAAATATATCTGAAGTTTCAAAAAGGGAGATTTAAGACTTGGAAAATATTATAAAAGTATAAAAGTTTAAAATAATTTAAATATTCAAGTATAACAAGAAATTCAAACATTTGACATTTAAATATATAGATTTAAATTTTAATTATTTAAGATTTCAAAGAGAGGGAAAAAGTGTACGTTCTAAACATATCATATAATTTAGAAGTTCAAATATAATTTTTTCGATGATATTGGAATATGAATAACGCGCTCAAGACATTTAAAATTTCAACAAATTGGCAATCTCAGTATTTTTGGGAGATCCAAAGTATAAATGTTATATAAAATTTTATAAAGTTTGAAGCATTCTAAAGTTGTCTCTTGATTAGCACCCCATTCCAAAAATCAAGGATCTGATTATCACCAAAGTTGAATCCTTCAACTTTTGTCTTGGAATTCACAACATCGAAGATTTCTATTTGTAGAGCATCTATTTGTAGAGCATCTAATCAAAAGTGGAACACTTCATTGGTTCCATATATCCATAATATCCTCGTAGGAAAAGCTCAGTCTCTTAAGCGAAAGTAAGAGGAGGCTCCAACTCAGATCGACAGCAAAATAGGTCTTCGCGAATTGTAAGTGTCCGTTTGGGGAACGTGACAACAAATTGACCGGTCTATATTCAGCACATTCAAGCAATTCAACCGTATACTTTTCTCGTTAACAGCGACAGACTTTGGATGTCTTGATCCCTGATGCGTAGATCGATCTGGGGACGCTCATAGATCAGGCAATCACGTCGATCTCTCACTGAAAGACGGATAGGGTGATCACGGTCGGACTGATCGCTGAAGGAGCGATAAAACATGTCGAGGCTGCTGAAAGGAGAGCCGACAGGCGGTTATGTGATTGGCTCGTGCGCGGATCGAGGATCGTATTAGCCCGACTGGCAGTGACGCATGTCGTAAGCCACGTGAGACCGACGGAGAAACGACGCGGTGGACGCCACGCAGGATTTACGAAGAGAGAGAGAGAGAGTAAGAGTAAAGCAAGAGAAATAGAGGGACCCGCGCGATAGAACTAATACGAGCGCAAAACAGGCCAGGCGACGAGCCTCCCATTACCTACCGGAAGTCATATGCCCATACACGCGCGTAAAACGGTAAATCTATACATATATTGATACTAGTCGAAACCTAATATTTTACACAATGAAAAATATGTACGAAAGAGAGAAATTGCTGAAATGTTTTATATTAAAAAATTCAATAATTTCATCAACAGAAAGACACGGATAGTTTAAACAACATCTACGACAAAATAATAAAGGTCGTGTAGTTCGTTATTTTTGATTTAACACTCAGTTCCTTGACGAATTCTCACACCTACGCATCGTTTTTATCTCTCGATTTTAAATTTATTAAGATGTAATGATCGTGCAAACGTGATTTGTGCATTTTACAACGCATTTTACACTATGATTTATATCTGTCATTTGATCTGTATGTACTCAAATTGTTCGCATTTAATTCGTGTAGATACTCGTTATTCAAACCGTTAGAAATCTAATTGTTTAATTGTTATATTCCAGTATTTACTTGAAAAGGATCACAACCATATGGTCGAAACGTCGTAATCAATAAAAAAAAAATTTCTGGCTAGTTTTGGTCGATTATATTATTTCCAACGATCCTTCAATTAATTGACTAGCGATATTAAGATAATTTATGCTATACATATATGTACGCTATTTTGTTTTATGCTGTCATTCGGAACTTTGTAGATGTGGATTTTAAAATTACTTTTGCAAATAGTTTAAAATTTGAAACATTTAATGAAGAAGTCTATCTTGGAGCGCTTAAAATTGTTTTTTTTTTAGATTTTTGTTTTTTTATTTTTATATGTAGAAAATAGATGTAGATTTTTATAGCATTTTATATAATATTATATATGTTTATTAATAATATAAATATTTAAAGTTAAACGTAAGTATGTAAGTTTTAGATTAATAAATGATTATTATTAAATATAAAAATTAAAATAGTCTTAAAATTAGTTTTTGAGAAAACAATATAAAACTTTGTTATAAAGAAGAAAAATCCATGTCTTGCACATTAATTCTTTCTTTTTAGTCCACTTAAAATGAAAATATGAAATATGTATATGTTACTAAAGACATCTGATCTATAAACCTAAATTTCTATTTTAGAAGAAAAATTTAAAAATTTTTTAAATAATATATGATCAATAATAATAAATATTTTAAAGTAAAATTTATATATAAAGTTATCTAAAAATTTGTATCTTTAAAAAAATGCTAAATTTTTAGCATTAGATTTTTAAATTTAGATTCCCAAAAATTATTTAGAGGATGTGTTAATGTTCCAAAAAAATATGCAGAAACTCAACTCAACTGGTAACATGCTAATTTGAAAAAAAAAATCGTTTACTATAACATACATTTTGCGAGGACACTAAATTGAAAAAAATTTTACATTTAATTTTGGTTAATTAAGAATTTGTTGTAATTATGTTTAATTGCTTATCTCAAGCCTATATTCATCCCCTCATAAAACTCGTGTTGAATTGCTAACTTCTTTTAATGGGCTGATTTGAATCTTTAAGTAGATCGAAACGCTGATGCTTAGAAAAAACAACACTACGTTGCCTCTTATGCTCGGAGTATAATTTATTTATGAGATAATTATTTCTAGTCAGTCATTAGTATTTTGATATTAAATAAGCTAAGAACTACTGCTTTATACGAAGCATTTTGAAACATATTATTAATTCTGACATGATATCTATGTCCGAGATTGATAATTACTTCTCAGATGGTCTGCTGAAGTCTGAGAAATAAATTAAACACAAATGGAAATTTTTTAATAATATACCATAAACAACGGTGGAGTGAGGAATGGTTAATAGCCTGCTCGATAAAGGAGATTACTCTTCTTTATCAGACACACCGTTAATCGTTCCTCGGCTTAATTTTATTTTTGGTGTATTATTAAAAAATTTCAGTAAACAACTTCCGCGATTATTTGGCGTATATTATGTAAAATTGGATAAAATCGAATTCACAATGAACAATCTGACAGAGATTCTCACTCGTAAAACACACATGATGGATCTCACGCGAGTTACATATCTGATATGCATCGGGAGCCTGAGGGGGTAAGAGGATTCGGAAGAGGAAATGACATGCTGGAGCGCGGAAAAGCACAGGGCGAATCATTCGCGCGGCTATAAATATGCCACTAGATAGACGGAGATTGTACCGGATGGCGTAATTGAATTAGAACGGAGACGAGAGCACCGGTGAAACCAGCTGGCAGTCGCGGCTCTTTATTCTTTGGTTTGGATCGAACGCTCGCTAAGAGAAACAATGCGTCGTGGCAGCAAAAAATGTGCAGAAATTTAGAGGGAAGTCACGTAATAAAAGAAGGGAAAAAAAGATCGCGCTACGTTTTTAAAAATCATGTTTTAGCCACAGATTTCAAAGAAGCAAGTATTTAATCTCCCCGCGAGCAACGCCAAACATATTTATACGTTTACCTTTTTTTAGAAAATGAAAAACGCTTGCATTCTCATGTAATACATGAAATAAAATTTAGAGTATTTTTTGTAAATATTCTTGCAACGATATCACAACTCATTATAAATTTATTGTAGACTTAGAATTTCTTTTCATTAACTTTTTTTGTGAATCTTTTGAAGATACTGTTTTTGAAGAGTTTAATAATAATAGAGAAATAGTTAATGTGATAATATTCAATATTTAAAATTCAATATTTAGAATTTTTTTATTTGATATAATAATATTTTTTAATGTTCGAAGGTATCACAAAAATGCCTTGGAATTGATGGTAGACCATAAGCTGGAGTGCAAATTAAATATTGATGCTTGTCATTTTTATTCTAATAATTATTTTTTCAAATGTATAATAATTAAAATATACATCAGAAAGATGGTTTCTGACAAAAGAGTAAAATTTACATAAACATGAGGTGGAAATATCTCCTTTTCGCATTGTTAGGACTACATTAACTGCTATGAAAATCGAAGCAGCAGTAATAATAATACGGCGGCATTAGGAATAATACTGAAATATTTATTTAAACGTTCTATAAAAAAGTTCTTTAAATTTTTTAATATTTTTCTCGAAAAATATTTAAAAAATGAAAAAAATGAAAAAAAAGAAAAAAATGAATGTTTTACAGATACATTGCTCAAGCGACGCTATATTAATAGATTCACGTTGTATTTTTATGAAAACTTTGTGTTTGTTCCCAACAATGTTAATAAAATTGAATTATTCTACTTTTAATAATTTTACATATTTTGGTTTTTCGAGAAGCACAAAAACACTAATCTATTTAAAATTATATTTTTCAAATGGAGTATTAGACTCAAATCGGGGTAAGTGCAGACTGCCTTTATAAAAGAAAAATGTTTAATATATAAACTTTCTTTTTTTTTCTTGCTCGTTATTTTTTTTTTAAACTTATCAAGTTGTATATTTTGGCAGTGTTTTAATAAAAACGCCTGCGAATATTCTATAAGAAGATTCAGGGATTATTTTGAAGAAATAAAATTCCCTCGTGCAAAATGGAGGTACATATATGGTAGCGTGTATACGGCACTGTCAAGCCCCTTGCAAAAACCAATAACCTCAGCGTACGTCGGGTACTAGTAGTTTATGACCACTGAGTGCGCGTGCAAGAGAATAAGGGAGAGAGAAGGGAAAAAAGGACGTAGATTGGTAGAGGTAGCTGAAGGTGCGAGTCAGAGAGAGAAATGAGACAACAAGGGAGGATGTGCCGTCGTTTGGAAAACGTTGCTGGGAACAACACTTAACCCTCGAACTTGTTTCGTGTACCTATTGTGGCTGCCATGTAATCGAAATCACGTTAGGGGTAGACTGATAGCTTCTAATTGACATGAGCGTTACAAATATGTTTAAGCTTCTAATCAACTGGATTCATCTTATTTTTGCAAAATTATTGAAAAATTATTAAGATTAATTTATTCTTTTGATGGACAAACTTCGTTAAACGAGTCCACTTGTTACATCAAAGTTTCTCTATCAGTGGCACCGATTCGACTAAAATGTTATTTATTATTATTGAAAAAATTAATTGAGAAGATTCTCTTGCAAAGAGTTAAAAGAGGATCAATGGCTGATGAAACTTGTTTTTGTTTTATTTTTTTTTGTTTTGTTTTTTTTTAATGATTTCTATTTTAAGTAGATAGTTTGGAGCAGCTGAAAGACTTGCATATTTTTGCACTTTATTTCTGGGCTGCGGCTCATTTCCACGATACAATGTACGCGCGTAATGTATATTCCGATTATTCGACATCCACTCGAAATTTTCAGCCTTTCCATCTCTCTCTCTTTTCTGCGTTGTTCTATTTTGCCACACACACAAACATGCAATTCGATGCATTCGCCTCGTGCGCGTGTATCCGTTAAAACGACCGCGCGAACGTCTGTTTCCGTATTTTAATACTTCGGGCGGATCAATTTAGTTAAAATGATGGCGCCGCACGACATTTTTTATGTTTTTATTTGCGCTGTTGAAAGCCTATTTACATTGTCTAATTTTATTAATGGGTTTTTGAATGGATTAAATTGGTATAATTGAATTTTATTTTATAAAATAAATCAATAAGAGTTTATTTAGCATTTTTATATACATCACAATTTCAATATTTTGGGATTTTTTAATAATATTAAAATTTTTGATATTTGAGACTGTATTTCAATTTATAACATATAAGAATTTAAATTAAACGCTTAATGTTCAAGTTTAATAGATAGTTTAATTTTCACTAGCCTTTGTAATTCAATTTATCTTTATTTTAAGAAACGTATGCATTAAATATATGTTCAAATTATAATTCAAAGCAGTCCATGAATTATAGAATACAACGTTATTAAATATTTTGAACATCTTAAATATCTTGAAACATATATACACAGTGTTTAATACATATAACAAGATTTCTCAAATATTAATACTTGATAAAATCTTCAATTTTTGTGAAGCAAAAATATTATTTACCCTTATATGTTTTGAACATTTCTACCTCTCTTCACATATAATTTTGATCATTCATAACAGGCGCTGAAGGATCTTGTTGGGAGTTTTATTGTTATTGAATGCGATTATCATTTTTGCTTGAACGTTCGAAATTTCTCCTCGTATCGCTTCTCTTTCATGGCTATGCTTGTCCACCGCTATTGAGCCAACGTTGGACCCGTTTAACAGAATCGACAATTTCTACGGAGATCTATCTGGTATCATTTCGCCCGATAGCCTCGATATGAAATCCTCGCTGCGAGGTCGGAGCCGGAATCAATTCATTTCTGTGTCCTTGCGTAAAAGGATCACTTGCGGCCGAAGCGAGTTTATCGGGTCGAGGGCATCGCGAGACTATAACGACTTAAATTTATATCCGCGTGCGAACTGTTGCAGCTCGCCCGTTCGTTTGTTCGAAACGTTAATATACTTGTTGGTTGGCGACAACGAGATCATCTCACACCTACGTGTTTTTCTGTATTTTTATCTGTTCTTCTGTATTTTTATTAAGGATTAAACAATTAAATACGGTTTATATCCGATAATCTGTCCAATTCTCTTAATTTCATATTTAATTTTTGTGCTGTTTTTCTTTTCTGATAAGTAAATTAGAAAAAGATAACAAAGATTTAAAATTTAGCAGGAAATTTAATATTTTAAAACTCGAAGTAATCAGAAATCTATCATCTCGTGAGAATGACTGATAAAATAAATTCAAAGTCGATTTTCACTTATGGTAAATGAAAGGCTATAAATATAATATAAATTAATCTAATAATTAATTAATAATTATCAAATTGTTTCAACACATAAATTATCAAATTGTTTCAACACACTTGTTCAAAACATTAATAACGACATCATTTCGTGTCTAAATGTATTTTTATATTTTATAATATCTAGGAAATATAAGTAATTAAACACAAATCTGATACTCTATCCAATTAGATTTAATCCTCAACTTCATATATATAGGGTGTTTCTTAATAAGTGCGAAACATTTTAGGAGATGTTTTTTTGTCGAAAATTAAGGGAGGTTTTTTATATAAACATATACTCCTACATCTCTCCCTGTGGAGTTACATTCCTTCAAAAATGTATTATATATATTATATATTCATTATACAGGATGGCTCCGAACGTTCCAGTCAGACTTTGAGATGTTATAGGAAATTTAATTCTGAATAAAACATTTCCTATAAACATGGGTCGAAAAATGCTTCCTTAAGAAGTTATCGCTCAAAAACCTCTGATGAAGGAAGAGCAAAAGGTGAAAAGAAAATGAAACTAAATAAATTTCTTGAAAAAAAACGATAAAAATACAAAATAAAAATCTTTTTCATTTATGACAATAAAATAAAAGTTAGGAAAAAAATTATTTTATTTTCATAAAAGAAAAAGATTTTTATTTTTTATTTTTATCCTTTTTTTCAAGAAATTTATTTAGGTCAAGAATTTCATTTTTGTATTTCATTTTCTTTTCACCTTTTGCTCTTCCTTCATCAGAGGTTTTTGAGATAACTTCTTAAGGAAGCATTTTTCGACTCATGCTTATAAGAAATTTTTTGTTTAGAATTAAATTTCCTGTAAGATCTCAAAGTCTGGCTGGAACGTTCGGGGCCACCCTGTATATAGAACTGATTTTTATGTACTTTTTCTTTTCTGAAAAAAAAAAAAAAAAAATAATAAATGGATTGGAAAACGGTAGCAAATTTAAATTTGGGATTTGAAAGATCAAGAGTCGAAATATCAGGAATACGAAATTGATCATCTGTGAAGAGATATATGTGAGAATGTTCGATAAGATAGATTAAAATCCGCGGATTTTCACCCACGGCAAATGAGAGGCTATGAATATAATATAAATTGGTCTATAGAAATAATTATCAAATTATTCCAGCTCATATTGTAAATTTATAATCCCGGAAGGTGCCAGATGTTAATTGGGACATGGTATGTGTGTAATATCGCGGACCGCACCTACACACAGTTATATCATCTATAAAGACATCTCGTGTATTTTCACGTAGGCGACGCGAAGGCAGAACTAGCACAGGACTAATTCCCAGAGACAAACACTTTAATTATAACCTTGCCACGTACCTACGTGCCGTCATATCGTCACATTCATTAAACATGGCCCCTGTCGTTCACTGCACCGCGCTATTCCATTACTTTTGTGCGGTAGAACTCCATTCAGGAAACTGCGGACACTTTTTGCGGAAATCTCATTTGCCAAAAGTGTCATTTTGTACATGGAGCATCCAATAATATGTACTATTAACTTCATCATTTTCCACCGGATCTCGAAATTAGCCAAAGAGTGCGCGACCATAACCTATTACTCTTTTGTACAAATTATTAATGAGATGAGGATGATGTTTCTCTAGGTATCATATACCACTACACTTCAAAATTTGTCGATATATTGAATTTTAGAATCTGGGTTTACTTGTTTCGCAGATCTCCGATTTTTATGAGAACTAATGATCGAACTAAAATCATTTTTCTCGCAAACTGGATTTATTAAAACTTTTGGAATTAATTAAAAACAAAGCGTATGAGAGAGGATGTAGATTAGTTGGACGACGTTATCGTTAAGCGCATGCAATTTTCTTCTAATTATTTGCCTTCCGTTGCGCCCATACGCCATTTCGCGCGTGCAATAGTAACGCCATTGTTGCGGCGCGATACTGGATTGATGGTAATAATGGCGCAGGAGGGAAACAAAGAGAACTCGGCCACGTCACTGCCGACCGCTATCAATTATTTTCAAATTACGAATTTCGCCGGGATATAGTACAATTGATTTATTCACGTCGTCCAGTACTGGAGCCATTTATTCGCGATGCACTACAGCATCCATTTTTTTTTGTCATTTTTCTCAAATCTCGCTCCGAAAATTCAATGATGGATAAGAGCGATTCAAAATTGAGAAATTGTCTAACCTTCTTCTTTCTCCCTAAAAGTGTATAAATAATAAATATCTTTATTTATTTTTTATCGCTTTTTAGTCAATAAGACAACTCTTTTACTTCTCAGAGTTTAGCGTAAAAATTTTGTTTTCTTATTTTTATATCAATTTTGTAAAGGTTGCACAAGACCCAAGAAAAGACAATATTCATAAAAATATTGTATTGGTATTGAAAATTTTCAAAAATTTAAATCTTGTCTTGGTCTTAAGTGAATATTGATAGCAAAAATCTTGTCTTGTATTGTCTCGTCTCGATTTTATTAATAGTTTTTTATCTAATAATAAAAAATTATTTAAATAATATTTAATATAATTTTTGTATTTAATATAATTTGAAATAATTATTACTATTGTATTATATTTTAATTATAATTATTACTATGTAATCGATATAAATGCCGTCTATTTACTTAAAAAAAACATTTACTGTTTCATGGAGAAAAGAAATTAATAACTATTTACATTTAAATTAATATTTACAATTAAATTAATAACTATTAACAGGCTCCAAGGGAATGTGCAGATATAAATATTTTGGAGTGGTAAAAAAATCAGGTTCATATTTATCCCACATTGTCAAAAATGGCTCGAGACATTTTAAGTTCAACTGCCTCGTCCGTGCCAGTAGAAAGACTTTTCTCAATAGAAACTCTGACTATGTAAAAAAATAGAACCAGATTACAAAGTAAATCTTTAAAAGCACTAATGTGCATCAATTCCTGGGTGAAATGCTCTTTAATGTCTAAAATTTGCGAGTTTGATTTCTAATTTATAAAAATGTTATATTGTATTAATATTAAATGTTTTTAAATTTATCAATATATGTTTTTATTAAATAAAATTTTTTTAAATTCGTATATAGTGATTTTTTTTTCATTTACAAATATAAATATTTTAGTTTTTTTGAAAACCAATACTCTTGACAAGACTAATAATCATGACAGTCTTAGTCTTGGTATTGTCTTGATAACTAATTAAAATCTTGTCTTGATCTTGTCTTGAAATTCAAGACAAGACAATATATATCAAAACTAATCTTGGTATCTCGTGCAACCCTAATTTTTTCTTATTGTTGTATTAATTTATTTATTTAATAAATCAAGCTGACTTAATCTACATAAATAAATGTAATATTGAAATGAAAAAGCGAGAGAGAGGAAGAAGTTCTGCACGAAATTATCGTATCTGTTGTAGCGTACGGCCTGCGAAGAAATTGAAATGGTGGAGTTGTGCGGCAGCGGCCAAGCTTCCTCGGCCATGGGGGTGATGGGCATCGGCTCGATGGTGTCGGCGGCGACTTCGTCGTCCTCTTCATCGACTACCACAACCACAGGCGCCTCGTCCTCGGCATCGGGACGTGCCGGCGTCCTCGAGACTCAAGTGCGCGGTCAGTGGTACCGCGTCTTCGTCTCCTTGGAAGATGATTATCTCAGTATTTCGCTCGACGAGAGTTGTGAGACCGGCAACAACACCCTCAACAACGGTAACATCAACAACAATAATGTGGACAGTCTAAACGATCCGGATGTGCCCGACTCGGTGGCCAATCAGAAGCGTATCGTTCGCGTGGTGAAAAGCGACAACAACGGCCTCGGGATATCGATTAAGGGCGGAAAGGAAAACAAAATGCCCATCCTCATCTCGAAGATCTTTAAGGGTATGGCGGCGGACGCTACTGAGCAGCTTTACGTTGGCGATGCCATTTTGGCGGTGAACGGCGAGGATCTACGCGAAGCCACACACGACGAAGCGGTAAAGGCGCTCAAGAGAGCCGGCAAGGTCGTCGAACTGGAAGGTAAGTGCTTCCATTCCATTGTTATTTGTCCCAATACGCGAGCACAACATATAATCCATATTGTATCACGACTATAATATACGAGATACTAATTTCACTTGCGACTACTGTTCCTCGACAACTTTGCCAACAAGTTTTATGGATCTGTTTCTCAGAAGATAAATGTACTAAATGACACAAAACGTCCCTGATGTATGCAATATTAAATTCCGCCTCTTTATTCGCACTCTATTTTGCGCCGTTTGTCATCCCTTGCGTACCCGGAAAAGGTTAGAAAAAGAGAACCAGAAGAAGAGTGCACTTGCAAGCGCTATCCAAGGCTTTTAGCTGGATTGGTGCATCGAGTGTGTGCAGCCGGTTAGAAAAAGTCGACTGGTTTTTTTTTATACTTGGTACAAGGGTCACTGTTCTGTATCCTTTGTACTGGAAATCAAGAAGTCTGAAGATGCATCGAGAAAATTGTCATTTTAAAAGTATATCCTGTAAAGAACCGTGATATTAGATGGGATTGAAAGTATGATATATTTCTTTCCATTAACAGAAACATGCTTGAAATCGATCTTTCATCGATAAAATATTTTTTGAGAATTTTATGAATTTGTTTTAGTGAGTTTATCCTTCAAAAATTGTCCAATAAATCTTTTCGACGGCGAGAGAAGATAAGAATGATTTTCGAAAGGAGATTTAGATGCTTGAAATGATATGTCATAAAATGAAACAAAACATGGTTCATGAAGCAAGATAACATTCTATAAAATTTTTTTTCATTTATAAAATAATTTTTCAGAATTTTATGAATTTATTTTAGTGAGTTTTATCCTTCAAAAATTGTTCAATAAATATTTCGATGGCGAGAGATGATAAGAATGATTTTCGAAAGAAGATTTACGTGCTTGAAATGATGAAATGTCATGAAATGAAGCAAAACATGATTCATGAAGCAAGATAATATTTTATAAAATTTTCCTTGACATTTGCATTGAAAAATACATAATCCTTTTTTACTATATCCTTTTTTCCTCGCATTCTACATTCATAATCATGTAAAAAGATACACATAAGGATTGAATATAAACAGTGTCATTAAAGGTTACGCAGATATCGTTTGTCATTTCGCACGCGTTTTTTCCCTCCACTTTTTTATTGTATATATTATCACTTTATCGTCCTTGTCTCCGACTATCGTTAGTTCTCGTCTCGGGTACGGGATAAAGCGACACGAGACTCTGTATTTAACGTTTCCCTCACGATATGATAAACAATCGGCGAGTTGCATCATTATGCCTCAAGCTCTTCGGGTATGAGAGATCATCACGATACCTCGTCGTATCATTGTATGTACTCGCTGCATCGTTATTTTCTCGCGTCTCAAAAGTTAGAAAACCCCGCGATGGTTGTTATCGGGCTATTTCAATTCAAAACCCTCTTTCTTTCCGCCCTTCCTCGCGCTCGATCCGCGGAAGAACGCGACAAAAGAAACACCTCGAGCAATAGGATCGCTGGCGTACGATCGAAGGAACATTTACCTGATGCAGCAAATAACGAAGTGCTTTCTGAATCGCGCTGAATCTTGAATCGCTTCTATGAAGAGGCACTTTTCGCCTCGATTTCATACAGTGTATTTAATGGGAAATACTTGGGATATTCTATAGAATTATTTGTGTTGCGGAAGCTCATTAAAAATTGGTGGAAAGGTATAATATTATGAGTTAATTAATGAGCGAAATTTTTATTCTACTCAGAAGATTACTCTACTAAGAAGATTTGGTAGTTTGAAAAATCGTGAAACAACCTTGCGAGGAATTTACAGAAGCTGTGGTTTATTGTTGAGACCGGTCTAAAAAATTATTTGAGCCTTAGAGCCTGAAGTTATCATAAATATATCTATAATTTTAATTAAATTATTCTATAATTTTTATTATATTTATTAATATTTATTAAAATCGATTAAATTAATATAATAATAATATTAACATTATTATAATATTATTTATTAATATTTATTAAAATATTTATTCAAAATTTAACAAATATTAATATTTATTAATATTTATTAATATTTATTAATATTTATTAATATTTATTAATATTTATTAATATTTATATTTAAAATATCATAAAATCGATTTTAGATTGAATTTCGAAGGTTCTGCGAGCGAAATTTCTTCACATAATTATTTAATATACACTGTGACGTAATATACACTGTATTTCTACGTAAATTGTCATCAGAAATATTACTCAAAAATTAAAAATGAAAAGAAATGCGAATATTTATAATAACGATAGGCAGGATATATTGATAATTTCAATTAGCTGAATGTGAATTCGTCCATGGCAGGGATGTAATAAAAGATTAGGTTGCGCGATTGTACGAGAAATTCACAGGTAGGCGCGAAAGTCACGATGATGCTTTCGCGATACGATCCTCGTAGAGCACAATACCCAACTTTGCGTGACTTTTCCACAACGGTTATCTATTTGCTGCCCGATAATCTTTCCGTCGGATCTAGGGAATTCTGTCTGTGAGATATCGCATGTCCTTGATTATGGATCACCGCGAATGGGACGCTTAAGCGTACGCGGGTGTGTCGTGCTGTGTAATCGTTGTGCATATATAAAGTCATTACGTGCGGCAGGCTATACGAGACAAAAAAATATAATGTGCACCTATATTTTACGTATAAATTACTATAATAGAGACTTTTTTTTCCAACGTGACGTCCTTGTTTTGAAACCTAACCTTACCTAATGGCGGGTTTATGTCAGACTCGGCGAACGTAACGTTTCCGCGCATTCGCGATTAAATCTACGCACGCAAAATTTCAAAAGAGACATGTGACTTCTCTCTTTTTTGCTTAACAACTTTTGACAGCTTTGGTGAACTTTTCGAAAATGCGAAACACCACAAATACAAACATGGTATTTAGATATGTAAGAAATTCCATTTTTAAGTGACGTAATCAAATCTTGACGTAGTCAAATCACTGCACTTCCGACAAGTATGTGTCTCAGATAAGTTATATGACATATACAGGTTGTCCCAAAAGTCCCGGACCGGTTGAATATTTCATAAACTATGCACTTTAGAAAGAAATGTTTCAGACAAAAGTTGTATGGCCTGAAGGGGGCCATGAGATAGTGGCAATGATTTGACCTTGGAGAGTCATTTGAAGGTGACGTAAAGATCACCGTCAATTTCTTAAATGAAACTACCTTTTTTATTAAACATTCTGGTAGCTCACGTCGAGAGCTTTCCAAAACATAATTAAGTTAGTTTTCATTAAGTACTTTCCGAATTATGAGGCTTGAAATCATTCCTTAATTTTACATAAACCGTAAAATATCTTGTAAAATATTCATGTTTCGATTATCTTACCTTAATATTTTTATGTACAAAATAATGAGAGGAATCAATTGGTGCAAAGAAAACACATATTGTTTTTAAAAAAAAATATGTAATTGTTAATTGCAAATTACATGTTATTTTTTTTCAATTAATAAATAATATTATTTATACAATTAATATTATTTATACAAATTATTATTTAATATTAAATAATAATTAAATATTAAGATGTTGATAGTATTTGTGAGAAATTTAATATTATAATTTCCAAAACAGTTAAAATGTCATTAAAAGTAGTCTTGACATGTGAGAGACATGAAGAGAGCGAAGAGAGAAAAAGAAGGGGGAGAGAGAGAGAAGAAGGGGAGGGGAGAAAGGATGAGCAGATTGCTTGGCGTGTTGAACGAAAGGAATTCCAGTTTGTAAGATTTAAGATGCAATTTCCTTGACGACGTCGCACGTCATTCGTTACGCAGTATTCTTCAGGGTACAATGCTAGCGAAAATTACGCATTCCAATTACCAAAACGTGTCAAATCGAGCACGATATCCGGACGGCTTTTTGTGATTCAATCCCAATCTGAATTATAAAAAAATATGCAATTATAAAAAAATGTCAAAGTTTATAGACGTGTAAAATTGAACGAAATTTAATATATAAAAAAATTCAAAATAGAAAAATTTATCGATATTTTACGAATAAGTTGCACAAAAAATAGCCAGTAGGAGTTATCTTTTTTGACGTAAAAATATTGAACATTTATTCCGTTCAATTTATTTAGCATTTTGTCTTTTATTATATATTACTTTAATTATTTCTCTCTCTTTTTTTCTCTCTATATATCAATACTTGAAAATATAAATAGATATAAAAAAAATTAGGTAGAGCAAGACACTTATATTGAATAAAACACAATCGACATTTTGGACATAACTCTACGTACGTAGTCTCACAAATTATGTAACATTAATCTTAAAAATGGTCGGGAATTCTAACTCGCGCGCAATATTGATTAGCAAATAATTATTCGTTGCTAGAAACTAATTAGCAACGGATATAAATTAGAGAGTGTTCGTTTTACAGGGCATGCATGCATGCTAATAATTAGCTCTCCGCCTCGTCATTAATTGCACAATAAACAAACGATGTTTCGTGCGCCAACGAACCGGCGTATTCGATTGTAGCTGTCGAAAAAGTGATTATAGAACGATTATGTAATGACAGTGCGTTTGCAAATGTTTGAAACTTTGATAACGCGTCCGTGTGCGAAGTTAATGCGGTTATACATATATATGTTGACGGCACAAACGATGCTCGTTACGTAGTTATGATAATTCAGCCATTTACCTCAAAATGGCGCCCTACATTCGTTATTGGGTATCGTAGCGAGGAAATGGCGCGAAAAAATATTTCCCGGACCTAAATTTTGATAAACGGAACAGAAATTTCAAATTGTCCGCTAAGCTTCATTTAAATTTGAACTTTAAGTAAATTGTGACTAGGGTTGCACAGGATCCAAGACAAGACAATATTCGTAAAAATATTGTATTGGTATTGAAAATTTTCAAAAATTTAAATCTTGTCTTGATCTTGAGTGAATATTGGTAGGTGAATTTGGGAACAAAAATCTCGTCTTGTATTGTCTCGTCTC